CCCCAAAAAAAAAAAACCCACCCCACAATGATTAAATGTGATTTTGCATCTCTTCCTCCGAGGCTCTCCCATAGGATGAGGCACCTCTCAGGAGGAAAATAGTTCAAAGCCTTTCTCTCTCAGTAAAGCTGTTTGTTAAATCGTCAGTCTGTTCCATGAGCATTGAAGCACTCCTCCTCGTTTGCTAATCGCTTAATGCTGCAGGCCAAACGCTGTCGATCTTTCTTCAGAAATGACTGTTCCTCACATTAAGCCTCGGAGGAGTATTTGTTAAATGTTGTTAATGAAAATAATCAACTCTGCATTGCTAAACCTTCAAACGCCAACAGCGGTGGATGTACAGCAGTGCTGTCCCTGCAGCTGCAAGGTTTCATCCAGGAGTACTGCTTTGGAAGATTTTTAGCCCAGTTTCTTAGCTTGGGCTAAGGAGGTATAATCACTTCTTCATCATTTGGACCTTTCAACCACCCTGGTGGAAAGATAGAAATCTCAAAGATATTGCACATCAAAATATTTTGTGTAAATAGGAGCTAGGTATAAGAAATGTAAATCGGTGCCCCGCAGCAAACGGGATACATTACTAGATGCTGGAGAACCCACAAGGAATGGAGCATCATGGGCTCCATGTGGAAGCACATCGTTTCAATGATGCGATTTCCTAAACCTCCCTGCCCGTCGCCTCCTAGAAGCTCACACCCCAAATTAGGAAAGAGTAGAAGCGACCCTTCCACCCTTTTTACCCCTCCTTAGCAAGTTATTTAGCAGAAGCAGAAGACTTGAGATTAATTTTCAGTCCCCGTTTCAAGCAGCAATAGAAGATGATGGGCTATAGAATCGTAGAATGGTTTAGGTTGGAAGGGAGCTTGAAGATCATCCAGTTCCAACCCCTCTGCCATGGGCAGGGACTCCTCCCCCCAGCCCAGGTTGCTCCAAGCCCCGTCCAACCTGGCCTTGAACACCTCCGGGGATGGGGCAGCCACAGCTTCTCTGGGCAACCCGGGCCACAGCCTCACCACCCTCAGAGAGAAAAATTTCTTCCTAATATCTAATCTAAATCTCCCCTCTTCCAGTTTGAAGCCATTCACCCTCGTCCTATCACTCCATGCCTTTGTAAAATGTCCTTCCCCACCTCTCCTGTAGCCCTTTAGGGACTGGAAGGCCGCAGTAAGATCTCTGCGGAACACCACTTGTAACTGGTCTCCGCTTGGACATCAAGCTGTTGACCACAACAACTCTTTGAGTACGACTGTTCTGCCAGTTCCTTATCCACCGAGTGGTCCATCTGTCAGATCCATGTCTCTCCAATTTAGAGACCAGGATATCATCCGGGACAGTGTCAAATGCTTTGCACAAGTCCAGGTAGATGACATCAGATGCTCTTCCCTTACCCACTACCACTGTAACCCCCTCGTAGAAGGCCACCAAATTTCAGGCATGACCTGCCCTGGGTGAAGCATGTTGGCTGCTACCAATCACCTCTTGTTTTTCCACGTGCCTTAGCAGAGTTTCCATGAGGATCAGCTCCATGATCTTGCTGGGCATAGAGGGTTAGGGGTGACTTGAAAGTTTTGGGACATGGGTGGGGAGCTGGGAGGAAGGGCTGAGGCCACAAGACGGGGATTTGGGTTCCTCCAAACCCCGAGGAGCTGGATCATGCGGTCACCGAGTAAAAAACATTGACCGAATACCGACAAGCGGATATTACCCAGAAAGGGTTAAACTGAAGGGCTGGTGTGGTACTGGCCCCTGTGCTCTGCCGCTTTATAACCTGCTAATCTCATCCCTGGAGCTCCTGGACGTTTATAGCCAGCTGGAGAGGAGAACGGGGGTTCTGCATTGCTCGGCATGTTGATGTCCGAGTCAAGCTTTGCGTAAGAAGCACTGAGGAGTCCAAAAAGGAGCATGTGCTGTGGGTATAAGGAAGAAAAGCTGTAAAGTAACAACAAATCAAGATAGAAAAGGGTTGTCAGTACATGGGGATTTTGTGGTATCTTTTTAAAGACCCACCACCGATCTTGTCGGAAGAGGGCTGAACGGGAGGCTGGAAGGGGCTGGAGGCAGCCAGAGGGCTGTGGTGAGCCCCACAGACGCCCTCTGAGGCTGCTCAGAGCCCCCATCCAAGAGGGAAGGTCTTAAACCCTCTGAGAAACCACGGAAATTTGGAGCAGGTCTGTGACAGGCAGGCCAGCGCCAACAACCCGAGATTACACCCTTCGCCCAAGCATCCGTCAAGGCTGAAAGAAACGAGATCCCCACCACCGCAGCCAACTGTGGAGGACCATCCCTATGGTGGGTAGTTTGCTGAAGGAGCGTGCAGACACCACGCCCTACACCCTCTCTGGGGTGGTGGAGAGGACACCGGCCTCCTTTGGGGACAAGGAGCCCTTCTCCCGCCCCGCAGCCCCGCACACCGGGCCCGGGCTCCACGAAGGAACCGCCGACTCCACAGCAGCCGCGTCACGGAGAGGCCTCCCGGCTTCCGC